AAAAAAAGTATGCGAGTCAGTGCAAAGCACGAGATAAAAACTAGTTGCTTCGACTCATCTTCCCCAAAAAGTGGTAACACAATCCTAATACGATTTGAATTTATCTTTTATCTTTTTATTTATAAAGATAAAACTAATGATATTAATAAATTTGTACTAAATAATACTAAAACATAATTACTTTCTTAATCTAGGACTTAAACTTTTTTATTCCTTAGAGAGAACTTAATAATGTCTTAGTGGGAGGAATAATGCCCAGTAATAAATTAATAATGGACATTTACTTGAATAATGACTAATTAATAATGACCAAAAGTCCTTCATTGTGAAATAAAAACATATGGTCCTATATTGGGAAAGTCATTGTGTTTTAGCCCTATTTAGGTAAATTACTCATAATATTATTTGAAGTGATAAAATTTTAATATATCAAAACTAAATTTTAAAATTAATATTATGATAATAAATTTATATCATCATAAAATATATTTTTTCATAATTTGTAGTCCACTCGATCGAATATATCCGAAACCGAAATATATCCGAACCGGACTAGACCCGAAACCGAAATATATCCGACTCAAATTGTATCCGAATCAAAATCTATCCGAACCGATTCATAACCGAACCGTATCTGAACCGACTCGAAACCGAACCGAACCGAAAAATGTATAGAACCGAAATCAAATCCGAACCGAAATTTAACCGAACCGAACCGAACCGAACCGATTATAACATATAACCGAAAGATATCCGAACCGAAAAAGTTCAATACGGAACCGATCCGGTTGATCCGATTGCCACCTCTACAAATGGGATACCCCATTTTGGTGTACATAACCCCTAAAACTTACCATGTATATCTAGAAAATAGTTGGAATTGTTTTAAGACAAATGAGGACCAAGCTGTTTTATTTTAAACAGAACCAAAGAAGAGGTACTATTTACGAAAAGAGGGCAAGATTCGGTTTTAAATTCCACAAATTTCACTAATAAAACTCCCTCAAAAAGTGGAAAGGTCAAATCCCATGGTTTATTTATCAAGAACAAGGAAATGCAAAAAAATAATGATGGCAGGGGATTATTATTATTATTATTATTTATGATTTATGATCTATGATTTATGAAGAAAAAAAAAAGATGGCAGGGGATGTGATCCAAATCCTATGAAATCGGGCGGAAGAGAGGTTTCATTATGCAAAAAAAAAATCTGGCGAAACTGAAAAAACAAAATTAAAACTAATAAATGAATCCCAAAAGATGAACAAAATGAATCACAGAGTTTCATCCCTTTATATTCTCATATGGCCTCTCATGACGATCGCCGCCGCAATCTACGCGGCGGAGGCTGCGGCGCCATTCAACGTCTCCACCGTCACATACGGAGACGGCTATTCCCCGCTCTTCAGCGAATTCAATATCGAACGGTCGCGAGACGACCGGACCGTCCGCCTCATCCTCAACCGTTTATCCGGTAATTCGTGAAAGTATAGTTTCAATTTAATATTTTCAATGCCACCAAAGAACAAATAAGTGAATTCCTAAAATCGTGTAAATATTAAATATATGCAAAATGTAGGATCGGGAATAATTTCAATAGAGTATTACAGCCACGGTTTTTTTAGTGCCGGCATTAAATTGCCGTCGGAATGCACCGCCGGAATCGTTGTTGCGTTTTATGTAAGTACTCCAAAATAGTGTTATATTCCCTCCCGTTTTGAAAAATCATTCCTATTTTGATTATTCAGAAGAATAACATGTGTATAATTTATAGTTGATTTTTTAATTTTATATTCGAGGTGATAGCTAAAAGTGTGATTTAGATTAATAATAAAAGTAATTAAATATTATGTGATAGATATGATTTAGTTGAGATAAAATAGATTATTTAACACAAATTTGAAGTGTTTTGTTAAAAAAACATAAAAAGTAAAAGAGATAGTAATAGATTTGGATATGGGATAGGGATCATTGAAATGAGTTATAAAATACTTGGGATACTCATTAACACTTCTCTTCCAATGAACTTACACCCCCTTGGAATGAATATTTGAGTGGCAACATCTAAACAATCCTGAGTTGTTGTGTATGGACTTTCAGATGAATAATTGAGCTAAGTAATGGGCCACATGCCGTTGGACATGTGCTCTACTGCTTCTACTGCTTCTACTGCCTCCGGCCTAAAAACATGAGAGGTTTTGTTTTTCAAAAGATTTAAAAGGAGTATACTTTGGTGTTGATGGATAAAAGTAGGATTTGATTGCTAGATTAATAATAAATACTACGGGGTATATGTGATATGATACGCATGTTAAGAATTACAATGAGTATAAGTGAATTTTTAATATGAATGAGAATTTTTTTGAGACGGATGGAAAAAAAAAGAAATTGTTTTCAGAGACAAAGAAAGTAAATGATAAAACCTAGTATGAGTAGAGATCACTATAACAGGTTATAAAGCATTTGAGTTAAACCGTATTAAAAATTGAATCTAATTGATTACGAAGTATGTAATTCAACTCTGAACTTATAATTCTACTCCCTTCGTCCTTTAAAAAAGTTCCCGTTTTGACTTTTTGAGGATTTAAGGGAGTGTATTTTGGGGTTAACTTTCCAAAAATGTCATTTGATATGATGGATAAAGTAGGATGAGATTGATAGATTAATAGAGAAAAAGTGTGATGTGATAAGTAGGTTAAGAATTAGTAGAGATAAAAGTGATTTTTTTAAAAGGAAATGGAAACTGTTTTTTGAGACGCATGAAAAAAAGAAAGGAAAACTTTTTTGCGGAGGAAGTATTCTTTTTTTGTTCAACTTCCGATTCGCGATATTATAACAGAAAGTGTTTTTAAAAAAGGAGGGGGTATTTGATGACTTCCAATTGTGGTTCTCAACTTTACAAACATACGGAGTATTTTTTTTTCTCCGTATTAAAAAAGGTAAATACAATATGCATTTTTTTTAACATTGCGTAACATCTCTTTATATAGACATCAAATGTGGATACGTTTGAGAAGAACCATGATGAGTTAGACATTGAATTTTTGGGAAACATAAAAGGAAAGCCATGGAGGTTTCAAACCAATATGTACGGTAATGGAAGTGTCTCGCGGGGAAGGGAAGAGAGGTATCGTCTGTGGTTCGACCCAAGCAAGGCCGTGCACCATTATAGTATTCTTTGGACTCTCAACAATATCATGTAAGATTTCATTCAATATTTATTAAAATAAAATTGTATTTTCGTTTCAATATTCTTGATTTTTATATTATGTATTTGTGCACATGCAGTTTCTACGTGGATGAGATCCCAATCAGGGAAGTTATACGGCACCCAGCGATGGGAGGTGACTACCCATCAAAGCCAATGTCTATGTACGCAACCATATGGGACGCCTCTGCATGGGCCACCAACGGCGGCCGGAACAAGGTGGATTACACCTACGAACCCTTCGCCGCCGAGTTCCGCGACATGGTGCTTCAGGGTTGCATCGTCGACCCCATTGAGCAAATACCGTCGACGAACTGCACGGACCGCAACTCCTCCCTCATGGCACGCCGCTTCTCCACCCTCACCCCGGACCAACACAAGTCCATGAAATGGTTCCGGGAAAAGTATATGTACTATTCTTACTGCTACGACGTCGTTAGGTACGCCGTGCCTCCCCCGGAATGCGTGATCGTGCAGTCCGAGAGGGACTTGTTCAAGTCTAGTGGTAGGTTGAGAGATAAGATGAAGTTTCATGGGAGTCATCGGAAGGGTCGCGGGAGGGCGCGGCAAGGTCGATCTTTTAGCACCGGTCAGGCAGTTAGCTAGCTAAATGAAATGTGCGTACACTCGTGTGCTGATAAGAGAGTAAAGTTGTCATACTGTTGAACATGTGCAATCTCAATGTTTTAGTCGTATTTTGGTCTTAAAAAAATCACTCCGTGCTTCTTAGACCGTAAGCTAAGGTGCCATCACTATCATGCTCATTTTTAATTCATTGTCACATTATAATTAAGTTTTTCTCATTTCTTAGGGACAGGTAGATCCAATCCTTAATCTTTTACTCCCTCCGTCCCTAAATAAACTTCCTCTTTTGTTTTTTCTTTGTCCCCAAATAAACTTCTATTTTCCCTTAAAAAACCCCTTTTACCCCTTACTTTTTCATACCCTACCTATCACATCATACCTTTTTACTAATAATCTACATATCACATTTTACTTTTACACGTCACATCAAGGGTATTTTTGAAAAGTCAACACAAAAATATCCCTCCCTTAAATCCTCAAAAAGTCAAAAAGGTAAGTTTATTTAGGGACGGAGGAAGTATTAATTTTTAATTTTACAAATTACTCCATACTTTATAACGTAATTTTTTAAACTAAACTAAAACCAAATTTGAAATAAAAAAAATGAAATCAAAATAAAAATTGAAATTAAAAACCAAAATGTAGAACTACAATTAAAAGAAGACTGAAGAAAGAAACGAATGAGAATAAGAAAAGGAGGAGAAGAGGAATAAGATCGTCGAGGAGGAGAAGAAGAAGAAGATCGAAGAAGAGGAGGAGCTGAGAGAAAAAAGGAGAATTGAAATTTAAAAAAAAATCAGACCGTGGAAGTCGGCATGCAGACTCCATCCACACCGAGTCCCAATCGGGGAGATAGTGTTTCTGGTCGGGACTGGATGTCACCTAATCCATCTCGACTCAACACCGCTCAGTTTTATTTAACTTGTTATGAAACATTATTTCAGTATGAATAGAAATTGTGGAAGGAACACATTGAATTAATTATAATATCAATGAATTCATTTTTAAACATACTCCCTCCGTCCCCTGTATTTGTCCACTTTCATTTTTACACACTATCCAATGCACTTCTTTAATTCATTTTATCTTGTAATTTGTATATTAAAAAATTATAAAAATTAGTATATATTAATAATCTATATATTAAGACAAATCAAACAAGATCACACATGACTATATTTAGGCTTACACATTGAGAGAATTTGATGAGTCAAAGTGCTTAGATGAACAGTTCCAAAAGTCAAAACTGGACGAATACAGGGGGACGGAGAGAGTATATAGTTTTGAAATATTATATATTATTCCGTATAATATATAATTATAGATAACATATGAATAAAGATATGAGAGAAAGACCAAAATACAACTAAACATTGAAATATATTAAAATAGGACTTCCATGTTTTTTCCCAGAAATATGACTTACATTACCCAAAATGGTCATATACATTACCAAAAAAGTATAGTAATGTGCACATGTACAGTGTCACATTACTACTGATGGGAAATAATACGTGGCTCGGCCCACATTTCCCAATTATTTACGAAGAACAGTCAAACCGGACTTGTTTAATAAAATGGAGGAATAAGAGAATATTCCACGAATATGCTTCCCCTCCTCCCCTATAAAAGGAGGACTCCCCCTCAATGTTAAGGGGGGCCATTCACTCATTCATCTCCTGCATATCTCTATCTCCCTCTTTAGAAAGTTTTTAGAGTGTTTTTCCTTCTTCTTCAAGAGCTTCTAGCTCCACCATTAATGGCTTCCAAGCCCATTTCATGTACCGTGTACACACCCCCGATATTAATAAAAATCCCCCGTTGCCAAGGTACTGCCAAAAAAGTCCCGTGGTTTTCTCCCGATTTGGGTTTCCACGTCAAAATCCCTGTGTTTATATTTTGGTGTACTTTTAGACTAGTTTATCGTTTTTGCCGGGCTAAAAACGATATACCGGTCGATAATTTACACCATCATTTTGGCGCCACCCGTGGGACCCGAACAAAAAGTTGTGTTTTTTGTTCGGCCAATTTTTTCCCTTACCACACGAAGTGAGCAAAAATAAAAAATAAGAGGGAGAGAGCCATCTGTACAAAAAAAAGAGAGGAAGAGAGATGTTGGGGAAGGAACGAAAAAGATAAGGGAAGAAAAGGGGAATCAATTGGGGGCTTTCCTTCAAAAATCCAAAATGGCAAAGAGAAGTCGCCGCCCCACAAGGAGAAGCCGCCGCTGCACGATCTTGTTAAATTGCCGACCTCCGCCAATTCGGCCAGCCGTATCACCAAAATCGCTGTCACCACCGAAGAATTCGATCTCTGCCGCTGTCCTTAGTTGCAGCCTAGCTTCATTCCCAGGTGAATCGCGCCATCGTCGGCTCGCCGTTGAAGCCAGCAGCCGGAACTGCCACCACCGTTCCTGGCGAGAGGGAGAAAAGTTTTACAAAACAAAAGAGGCGTGAAATTAGCAAATTGCCAAATCCCCCACCAGATCCTGTGCGACCTTGGATCGCCGGCCTCCACTCTTTGGCTCTGCCGTCACCATTGACGTTGCATGAAGCTACTGCTGAAATTGCAAGGCCGCCAAGATCGTCTTCATCACTAAAGCACTCACTGCCGTCGCCCTTGATCGCAGCCCAATTTCCAGAGACGATTTGCATACTCCGTTAAAAAAATGGAGGAAAGAATGGAATGAAGGAATGATCGGGGATCACCCCTGTCCGAGAAGTCGCGCACTAGCCGAGATAAGCGCCATCCTCAATTCCGTCCGTCGCCACAAGGATGTGATCCGCCTCTGGAGGACTTCGTCCAGACTTGCCATCGCTGCTCAAACCCGCCGCAATCACCACCACAATCAACACCAAGACACCGATGAGGTGATGCCGGAGCAGAAAAAGAGCTGTACCGGCCCAATAGATGGATTTCCGGCAGTGGATCCGATCCACCCTCACCTGAAAACAGCTTTATTATGGGAAGAGATTACTCGTCATTTTTACTAAAATCTGTCATCAACTCTAGGCGAATATCCATGCGCCCATACTCTCATTGAGGTCCGCCGCTGGTGCCGCCACCGTTGCTGAAGCTAACCGCTCCTACACCGATGCACCGTTGAAGCCAACATCACCATTGCTTCTCACTTAAGCCAGCGACTCCACAGCTTTTAGGAATCGAGGTTCTAGAACTTTCAGGCGTTTCAAAGATGTCGCCCACTCTTTGTGCTGAGATGTTCTCGCCGCTGCTCAATTTCGCAACCGTTGTTGTCGAGATCGGCCGGGAGAATTGTAGGTCATCTCCGGATTAACTACCATTGGTGGCCCCAAATTATTGCAAGGAGAGCCATTGGTTCATTATCAAGATTATCTATCACTGTCAAAGACAATAGCAAAGTGTGGATTCACTCATGGTCATGGGGAAAAATCCAAGTGCTTACAAATAAAGTTTATACGGAGTATATTCAAGGGTGTTAAAGTGAATGCATGTACCAAAAAGAGGACAAAGTGGCGACGTGGGGAAATAATGCAAGATTGAGGATGGTGGGGTCTGTTGATTCCATTAACTTTTGAAATACACCAATTGAGAAACACTCACTACAGTGTTCACGTGCTATCAGGCTCCACAATTGAACTATGACATATTCTCAAACAAATTGTCCAGTTGAATACACCGATCATGTATCGGTCTGCGACATCTTCGGAGGGAAGACTGAGACACAAGCCGAGCTTGGTACGCTGGTTACTACACCGGTCTTGCTCAGTATTAAAAAAAAGAGGAAGACTGAGACACATGCCCGGCCTGGCACGCTGGTTACTACACCGGTCTTGCTCAGTATAATAAAAAATATTAAAATATGTGACACAGGCCCGACCTAGCACGCTGGTAAATATCATTCTTGTGCGCGAGACAGGCCAAGAATGATATACACACCGGTCTTGCACATATTTTCTCGTAAGTCTCACCCCAATCGAATTGGGTACACCGGTGGCTCAGCTGAGCCCTTATCGGGGACGCCCGATTCTTCAAGCCTTTTGAACAAGGCACTCCGGAAGTGGTCTCTGCATGACATGAAGATATTTGCATCAGTTAGCCGGGCTAGCATCGATCTTCGACAAAGTTGCTGCAACATACTTAATTCGTATTAAGTAACATCGATTACTTCGATATACTAATTTCGCTATGTATCGTTTACTTAATCCGTACTGACATCGGTCTCGACGAAATAACTACTTGAAGCATCTCCGCTTCATCGTACTAACTCCGGTGTCGTATAACTACTCGAAGCATCGTTGCTTTATCGAACTGACATCGCTCTTGTTACGATAATTATTCACGCGAATTTTAACCACCCTAACACCGAGCTCCTCGGTAAAGATAATAATTATTTGAGCACGGCATATGCCGGTCAAAAAAAAAAATTGTACATATTATGTTTGCAGGAAGACCTTCTGATTCAAGAAATTAGAGAATTAATGAAGACTCAGAGGACTAGCAATAATATCAACCGGTCAAGAATCCAAAGTACGAAGACTAAAGATTACACTCGGAGGACTTATTTACTTTTTTAAGTTGATGATTCTCACAACTTAAAAAAGTGGAAGACTTCTTAATGGGAAATAATACGTGGCTCGACCCATATTTCCCAATTATTTACGAAGAACAGTCAAACCGGACTTGTTTAATAAAATGGAGGAATAAGAGAGTATTCCCCGAATATGCTTCCCCTCCTCCCCTATAAAAGGAGGAATCCCCCTCAATGTTAAGGGGGGCCATTCACTCATTCATCTCCTGCATATCTCTATCTCCCTCTTTAGAAAGTTTTTAGAGTGTTTTTCCTTCTTCTTCAAGAGCTTCTAGCTCCACCATTAATGGCTTCCAAGCCCATTTCATGTACCGTGTACACACCCTCGATATTAATAAAAATCCCCCGTTGGCAAGGTACCGCCAAAAAAGGCCTGTGGTTTTCTCCCGATTTGGGTTTCCACGTCAAAATCCCTGTGTTTATATATATATATATATATATATATATATATATATATATATATATATATATATATATATATATATACACATATGCGCTCTACACACACGCACGGAAGAAGAAAATAAAAGAACGAGAAGGGGGCCGAAAGAACAGAACGCGGGACGGAACCGGAGCACGCCGCCGCTGTTTGCCAGAGTCCGGAGGAGCTGGACGCCGCAGGATAGCCGCTGCTCTACCGCCGAGTTGCTGAAGTCTTCTTTGAGTATTTGATTAGTTTAATTCGCCAATTAATTGAGGTCAGAACTTGCACATCTAACGCTAGATTATGTATATAGATTTGAAATTCACGTTCGTAATTTCGTATGATTGATTACGTGGTTTATTTGTTTATAATTAAACTATGATTTAATTATATTATATGTTATTGTTGGAGTTGATTGAACAAGGATGACCAGGTACGTTTTCTTACTTCGAATTTGTATGATTTGCATGACGGTAAATGGAAGGTGTTTACACTCGACATTAGGCCGCTATTTGGATTGCATGATGATTTATTTGGTTAATTCTGTTCTCTTGATTTGTTGTAAATGTGGTGTGATATGCCTTTAACGAATAAAGTAAATTGAGGTGGCTGTTAGCTTGGATCTGTATAATTAAAGTAAGTTAATGAGATAGGTTACCTAGATGAACTCTAGGA